ACACTATCCCAACTTTATCAGCTCTGCCGCATTCTTTCCGCCACACATTGGGGCACCGCATACACCCATGTGCTATGCACCGCCCCAGCCGCCGCCGCAGCAGCAGCAGCAGCTGCCGCGGGACGTGATCGCCGCCATATCGGCCAATGCCATAACCGCTGATCCATCCAAGCGCATCGTCACCATACGTCGTGTGCAGCTGCCGCACGCCAGTGGCGAGCAGCAGGTGACCGTGGTAGCCAAGGGCAGCTCGCCGGACGAGGACAAGCTGCTCTACACGTTTGTCAATGGTCATATGGTGGCCTCAGCGCCGCCAGCGCAGCCAGCGCCAAAGAGCTCAGCTCCGGCTGCGCCACCTGTGATGGAGAAGAGCGCCAAGGCCAGGAAAAAGGAGGCTAAACGTGCAGCAGCAGCAGCAGCGGCGGCAGCGAACGCCGCTGCGGCTGCGGCTGCTGCTGCTGCTGCAGCAACTGCTGCTGCTGAGCTAGAGGCAACTAAGACAGCAAAGAACAAGAAACAAAACAAAAAGGCAGCGGCGGCTCCTATCGCTTCCAGTTCCACATCGGGCACCAGCTCCAAGTCGCAGACGCCGCAAAGCAGCGCCGTCAACACGCGCGAGAACTCCTTGTGCAGCATCAAGCCGAAGACCAACAAAAAGGCGGCGTCCAAGAATGCCAACAAAACGGTGGCCGAAGCACCGCCGCCCAAAAAGGAGCCTGAGCCATCGCCGGAACCGGAACCGGAACCAAAGCCGGAGCCAGTTAAAAAACACAAACGCTTGAAGCCGCGACTGGATGAGGGTCAATTGGACAACAATCCGTTCAAGACACTGCACCTGCTCGACTCCTCGGAGGGCGAGTGGGAAACAGGCAGCGAGTCGGAGGATGCTGCAGACCCGCCATTGCCGCAGCCTGTGAAATCACAGCCGAAGACGAGCGTTGCATCCAAGCCAGCGGTGGCAGCTGTGCCAAATTCCAAGCAGAAGGCGGCGGCAGCAGCAGCGGCGCCTGTTAAGAAGTCCAAAAATGAGGCCGCGCGTACCCAAGCAGCTGCTCAGCCGCCGCAGTCGCAGCAGCAGTCGGGCAAATCCGCATCAGCTGCTGCTCCCAATCAGCGTAAATCAACGTCCCAGCAGCAGCAACAGCAGCCGGCGCAGGCTAAGAATCCATCGCAGCGTTCGTCCGACTCGCAATCGAATGCCAGCACACGCAAGTCCAAGTCCAGCCAGGTACAAGGGCAGGCCCAGACCCAGGCCCAGGCGCAGGCTCAGCTGCAGAGCGTCCCGCCGCCTGCTAACGGTAATGGGCATCGCGGAGCGCAGTCGCGCGGAGGACGTGGCGGCAGTGGACGCTCGAAGCCAGCCAATGGAAGCCAGCAGCAACAACAACAACAACTGCCGCATGCGAACAGCAATAGCACCTGCTCCTCGATCACCGCTGAGCAGAGCTGCGGCAGTGGCAGCAACAGCGGCCAAACCTCGAAGCGTTCGCAGCGCGGCAAGCGTGGACATCGTGGCCAGAAGCAGGGTAAAATCTATTACAATTCAATGACGACGTCTGGCAATAATCCCAATTTCAATATCAATCTCAATTCGTATCTGTATGATTTTCCAGAGGATCTCTCGGGAATACCCAGTCACATGGGCTATTTCAATCCCAACGAAGTTGCCATACCACCGCCGCCAATGCCGCCGCATGCCGGCAGCTATGCCAGCACACTGACCCAGCAGATGCAGCATCTGCGCATTGGCAGCGGCTCTTCCGGCAAGCAGCAGCAACAACAGCAACAGCAGATGCAGCAGCCCAATTGCAGCATCATGGATCAGCTGAATCGTGGCGTCCAGGTGGAGCATCTATCACTGCCGCCGGGCATAACGCTTACCAAGGTGGATCCGGCCAAGAGCGAGCAGCTGCGCCAGAAGAGCGAATCCATACGCAAGCTCTCCAAACCGCTGGCGGAACAGCAGCAACTCTCGCTGCAGCAGCAGCAGCAACAACAGGCACATCTCATGAGCAGCTACTATGCGGGCAATGCCACGGGCATGGACTCCGCCGGTGGCGTCATTATGGTGGAGGCCAATCCGCGCTCCAGTGCCCGCAACCAGTGCCAGCCCCTGGCAGTGCCGGCCAACGGCAATGCCACTGGCACTGGCAATGGCGTTGGGAATGTGAATGTGGCTGCCGCCGCTGCTGCGGCCAGTGCCAGTGGCAAGTCGTCGAGACGACGTCGCCGCAATCGTGGCAAGTCGGGCGGCAGTGGTGCTGGCAGTGGCCCCGTGGCCAGCCAGGGGCAACACAAGCAGCGCTCTGGCACGGACAACCAGCAGCAGCAGCAGCAGCAGGCACAGCATGTGCTCAGCACGGCGCCCATTATGGAGGCGAGCGCGGGTGGCAACATTATAACGCTGCGCAATCCGATGTTCCACCAGGGCGTGAACAATGGGCCCGTGCCCGCTGGCATTCTGTCCAATCCCAATCCCATGCCGCCAGGTAAAAAATGCAAATGTCTCTGAGAAAAATTACTAAAATTACATATTTTTCAGCTCGAGCCTTTGGCGCTGGTCTGCCACTTGCCGCTTCGTTGCCAATGGACCAACCGGCCGCGATTATTAAGAATGAGAACGGCATGTTTACCATACGCAATCCGGCGTTGCACCAGGCCGTAACCAATGGACTGGCCATGGGCGGCTATCGTCAGTTTGGCAGCAATGTCAACTACTATACGCCGCAGGAGGCGGTGGCTGAGGCGGCGCGTGCCACACAGCAGAAGCTATCGTCACCACCATTGGTTGTCACGCCCGGCAGCAGCAGCAGCAGCAGCACCTCCCAACCAGTTCCGGCTGCCCCCACCAACTTCTCATACTTTTCCAGTGGCTCAGCCAGTGGCGGCGGCAGCAGCAACAGCAGCAGTGGCAGTGGTGTTGGCCTCAGCGCCTGCGGCGGCATGGTCGACACGCACAATAATATCAGTATTAGCTACACAAATGTTCCCATGACCAGCAGTAGTCCGGGTCGTCTGGTGGGCGATGCGGCCGTCATTGCCCGTCCGAAACAGACGCAGAAATGTCTGTCCGCCATTGGCAGCGAGCTGAAGCAGAAGACCAAAGACAACCACTCGTCCGCATCGAGCCAATGGTCGAGCTTTGGCCAACCGACATCGGAGTTTGGTGCCGGCCCAGCGGGCTCCACGCTGCAGGAGAAATACCAACAGTCCAGCTATTACAATGGCTTCGAGGTATTCCCAGGTGGTGCTGGTGCTGGTGGTGGTGGCAACGGACCCGGCGCCGTCCCAGGAGACTGCCACATGCATCATAATTGTGGCGACGATTCGCCGCCCCCAACCATCACCGGTTTCAATTCCTATCTGGAGGGAATACCCAACACGGGCGTCATTCGCTATGACGATGCGGCATTCCTCAAGAATTTGATACCGGGCCAGCATCTCAACAACGAGGTGCGTTCCTGTGAGCCACTCTGGCCGACTCAAGCGAATATGTTTCGAAAGGGCTATGTGCCATTCCATAAAATGTCGCCCTCATATTTCTCATTCTATTCGTCCTAAATGCATTTGATATGAAATTATACTAAACTGTGTGGGCTCTTATGGATTTCTTGTTAACGTAATAATGTATTAACGTAAACAATCAAATTGAATTGGTTTTTCTTTTTCTTTTACACTTGTGATATTTGAATCAGCTTAAGAAATTATTTCAATGAGATTCAGAGCTCCAATTGGAAAGCAAAATGTCAAAGCAATAGCTTACACCTATCTGATTAGCAGCATAAACTTCTTATTAGCCTACTCATTTAGCTTTCAGCTGTTCCCATGTTCCCATAATGGGAAACTTAATATATATATATATAATGAATATAATGGGAAATTTGTGTAAAATATTAAATTCGATAATCAGTGTTGTGAATCGGATCGATTTAAAGGAGCTATTAGTAAGCAAATGCATATAAGGAAAATATTTATTGTTTAATTTTAAATTTCGGATTAGAAATATTGAGAGCTTGAAGATTTGACTTACACATTTACTTGCTTATAGGTCTCCATACACAACATATCGGAGTCCAACTTCACGCGCAACAATGCATCGCCATCGCCGCATCATGTGGAGATAACAACCGTGTTTGGCAATCGCACCTGCTCAGCGAATGCCTACGAACAGCAGCAGCAACAGCAGCAGCAGCAGCAATCGCAGGCGAACAGCTACTGCGACAATGTGGCCTCCGATTACGGCAGTGGTTGGTCCCCAAATTGAATTAAATCCTCGAATTACTTATGAACATCATTCGTTGCAGATTCCACCCACCTGTTTGTGCAAGGCAACATGATGCCACGTTTATCACAGCCGCCGCCGACATCGGCGCAGGATCCGTTTGGCTATGACTTTGAGCCGGCGGCTGGCTCCAAGCCCGCCAGCGTGGCCAGCGATCTAAATGAGTTCTTGCGTCGCAGCCCGCACAGCCAGCGCACCTCGCCCTACAGTCCGGACGAGAACGTGGTACTCGAGGCATTTGTGCAAAACATGAACGCACTCCACATAGCCAGTGATGCGGAGCAGTGTGCACGACTCAACGGAAGCGCAGCTTCTGCCGGGGATGCGGCTGTAGCAGATGCAACTGCGGGTGGTGCTGGAGTCGGTGCTACTTGGTGGTAGAGTGGCTATGACCATGACAGCTGTTGGTTCAATGTCAACAACATTAACTCACACACACACACACAGATCCTTCACGTACATCCGCCGTAACGCAAACATTTCATTGATAAGGAAAAAAAACAAAAGAGGATACCCTATGAAATCATTCAAAATGACTTAGATGTCAATTTCAATGTTTCAGAGAGAAAAACGAAAAACAAAACAAAAGATAAAAGCAAATTAAATTAAATGGAAATCAATTTTGGACTTTATTCTTCATACAATTTGATGCTAAAAATATTATTTATAAAATTTGACTTTCAGAGGAAATACTTCATATATTGCTTGCATTTAGTCAGCATGTTTTGTTTAATTCTCAAAGATTAGCGAACCGGAGGCATAGCTAACACTGGAGTCCTCCATGTCCAGGCACTGGCTGCTCTGTGCATATTTCAAAAATTTAAAGCTCATATTCTTAAAGCCCTGATCCTGCAGGGCTTTAACGGCGCCCAGCATAACGCCAATTGGATGACGACCGCATATCGTATTATTATATTTGCGCAAATACTCTGTAAACGCAGATGGACTGAGCGTCTCAATGATGTCCATGCCTTGCTTGTCCAGCTGCTCGATGCACTTGTGTATGGGGCCGCAGGAGCGATCGTAGTAGGTGTAACTGAAGCGCTGGCCCCAATGGCAAAAATCGGAAGATATCACAAATAGGTTCGTTGGGTCCATGAAATATTTGGCCAATAGGCTGCCATACTGGGCCTCTTGCTCCGGATTCAGCGAGCCCACCAGTATAGGCACAATAGTGAACTGATCCTTAAAGCTGCAAGAGGAATAGGATAAAATGAGATTCAGTTGTTGTGATAATTCATCATCCGCTGGCACTTACTCCTCCATAACCTTGGCTATGTAAGGCAAATGCATTTCAATAGAGTGCTCATCCTCGTCCGTCTTTATGTCCATCCAGGTGAATTGACCCGTCTTTTCCAGCTCGGCATTGACTGAAATAAGATATACAGATTTAAGTTGTATATAATACTATGGTATTCTCATTTGCCCACCTTCCGTATCAATTTTGAGATCATATAATGGCGTCTTATACTTTTTCGTCACCGATAAGGCACAGCTGCGCAGGCGGACGTGATGCGATGGTCCCAATATGAATATGCGTTTACTGCAGAAATCAAGAAAGGGCATCAGCTCAGTGGCATTTTGCATTGTGTCTCACTTACACAACAACGGGGCTCACTTGTCGATAGGCATATGCACCGCAGGCACCACAATAGGCGTAGCCGGCATGTCTATAAAGTATACGAGATATATGTGCATTAAGTTAGATTCTTAATTCAATTAACGCCGACACTTACGGCGCAATAATGGCACGTGCTGGTCCATGGGATAAATCGGCAGCGCCCAACCAACGATCCAATTGTCTGGAGAGTTCAGAGGCTGCAAAATATAATGATAAAATTAGATTAATTGTTATTTATTACGGAAATAGCAGCAAGGGAAATTCTGCTAGGCAGTTTCTTTGTCATGGGAATTTAGGGAAATTATGTATTATAAATATAGTGGGAAATACAAACGATTATCTTCAAAAAGTTTATTGGAGAAAATTGGGAAATATTCCTGTTCAAAGGAATATTTTTATTGAAATCTAGTAGACGTTGTGTTGCTAAGTAACAAAATAAACAAGTTTCCTTGATTACAATGTATTAAATTTCAGTTTTTGATGAAACTGCGCTATTCCACTTACACTAGAAATAAAATATTAAATTATATTGATATAATATTGTATATAAATTTACGTTGATCAGGAATATGGATAAACAGAAGGAGAAGCTAAGCGATGACTTATTGAATCGCATACGAAATGAGTTGACGGCCATTATGGAGGAGAAGTGAGTACGATTAGAAGCCATATATACACACACACATACTATAAGTGCAAAAAATCTATCCGTTTCAGCAAAAGTAATGATCCCAAACGCAGAATTTCCTATGAGGACCTTATGAAGCCTACGCCTTTGCCCACTCTGCATACGAATAAGAATGAGAAGAAGAAAAAGAGCTCTAATAAAGGCCAAATATATCACAATCCGCAGTCACATCGCTCATCAGTTGGCGGTAAAACGATTACCATGAAGCCATCAGTCGAACGCTTAACTGCTGGCCAGGCACAAGCTAGCGAAGAGTCGTTGTCGTCATCGTCGTCCTCGCCCATATTAGGTACATCTAGTGCCAGCTCGTTGAGGAGCAGGCTGGCCAGTTTGGAGGATAGCTTATCAGCAGAGCTTCTGGAGTCGAAGAGTGCCAAGTCTATTGATGAGGATATGCAGAAGATGCAGCTGGAATTGGGACAGAGCTATCAATTGTTTCAGGGCATAGGCGAAAAGTTCGAGTCCATCAATTTTGGTTCACTGAAGTCTCGCATACGCGACTTACGTATGAACAATATGGCCAACGATCTTGGCAAGGTAACGACCAGCGAGCTACAGAAAATGTTCGAGTCCAGCTTTCTACAGAATCGGCTGGATAAGTTGACCAAAAATGTTGGCGAGGATTTCCGCCAGCATCCCGGGGAATTTGGTGATATACCGGAATTGAGCAACTTCTTCCAAGCATGCACCCAACTGGAGCACGGCCTGGACAAACTCAAGCAACAGCGTCAGCGTACCAACGAGCTGCAACAGCGTTTATGTTGGGCCACTGAGATTGCATACGATCGCATGGAAGAAATACGCAATTCAGTAGGTGATAAGCCAGAAACTAATTTTTAAGCTTAATCGTGCGTACTTTAATAATTGGTTTTAATCTTTTATGTTCTGCATTAAAAAAATATACAAATGATTTGAGCAGCTTAAAAATCCATTCTGATAGATGTCATACATATATACGTATGTATGTATGTATATGCTGTTATGTCTAACAAATTCCCCATATATCTTATCTGTTGACGCCATCTTCATGATAAAATTATATTAACAGAATAGTTTCAATATACTGTCTTTATATTCTGTAAACTCCACTAAAATAATTATATCGGATGCAACTTTACACCTTCTATATGATTTAAAAAAGTATCTTAAGGTCACTAGGATTCTCCGAATTTTTCATTATCTCAATATGTTGTACCAAGGCAAGGGTCAAAGACATCGATATAAGAAAACAGAAGAATATAATCAAAGTAACTTTACCGGAATCTGTATACCAGCTTCCTGCGTGCGTTGCTCTCCTGGCGGACATGTCGATTTTGTTATTATGTGCGTAAAATTGCCTTTCAGAAGTTTTAGATACGCCAGATGAATTCGGTTTTCACGCCCGCACTTGTCTTTGTGCCTCTTCTTCTTTTTATGCAAAAATGACTGAACACGAATACGAATACAAATGCAGTGTGCATTCTTTTGGCATCGAAACCAAAGTAATTATGTATATATCGTTATCGATACCCGGGACAGTATCGGCCAAACACAGCGCAACTCGCATCGAGCGTTGCGTGTTTGTCGGGCTTACTTAAATATTTTTATTTTTAATACTGCCGCATACAATTTTTGTTTATCTAATTAATGTGAGTTTAAAGAGCAGTGTGCATTTTTAGAAATAAATTATATGCAAGAATACATTTTTTGTCATTTGCTATTGCGCTTGTATCTGAGTATGCGTGGGAGCGTAAACACGAGAATGGTACTTTCGCGCAAAGAAGAAGCATAAAAGAGAATATTTTTTGTGCAAGTGGATGAAAAAGAAAACTTGTGTTGTTAATAGTGCAATTCGAGCTGAATCGTTCAATAAAGAGTACGTAATTATTTGTCAGGTGTGTGAAATTAGATCGCCAATTGATTGCTCATATACAATTACATACATCATTAGCAATACGCGGCAAATGAGTAGCATCGCGGCAGTGAGTAGCATCGCGTCATTGCTGTACTAAAACTAAAAATTGCCGTATTCGTATTCCGCCATTTTGAAAGCTGCGAGTCGAAAGTGGAATTTGGACGCGTTGCTGGTAAAAAATTTGTTGAAAAATATATAAAAAGTACACAGAATTTATTAAAAATGCATGTAAATTGTGCATTAAGCTAGCCGGTAAATGATTCTCTATTAATTGTGCGTGTGGGAAAGTGTTTAGCACGTGAATTTTGTGCAATTACAAAATCGCAAAAAAAGAAAAAAAAAACGCGAGAGCTGCGACCGCCACCGTCGCCGTCGCCGCCGCCACAATGAGGAAAAACGAAATGAAAAATATATAGAAATTGAAAAACTAGTGCGCTGTTGCTGAGAATTTAATAACAAAAAAAAATTATGTATCTATACATATTTTGTGCGGGCTATACATCGTCTCTTAATCTCTAATATGGATAAATGTATTGCTTCTTCTTGTTTTCGACCAGCGTGTGTATGCTCATGTGTCTCTCACTTAGTATATACATGTGTATATGTATGCGTGTGAATATGTATGTTTGCCTGTGCGTGCGCGATAAACGTGTACAAGAAAAAAATTTAAACGTGCAGAATTTCGTATGAATTTTTAAAGCCGATTTATATGCGCGCTTGTATGTGTGCATGTTTGAGTGTGTGCGTATACATATATTTATAGTATCGCTGCTGAGTAAGCCAGTGTCTTTATGTGAGAAAGCGAATGATAGCAATAATTATTTTTATTATTGCCAATACGCAAAACATAAATATATTGTGCAATAATATTTGCACAAATACACACATGAGTTACACATACATCATCTATACATGAATACAAATGTGTGTGTGTATGTGTTTGTTGCCTTTTGCCGATGCCGAGTGACAATATACACGCAAGGTTCACTGCGCAACGCCCCTGTACCTTTCAACTACTGCGCCCCACACTGCTGCAACATGCTGGCTAAAGCCGCTGCTCTGTCTCATCGTTGTTATTTTGCCGCCGCCGCCACAATTTCGTTCGAGTGAGCAAACAAACGAGAGAGAAAGAGAGAGCGCCAGAGGCCAGCTTCTATAGCAAGCGAATGACATATTTCAACAGCATTATTTCGGTTGCTGTTTTGCAGCAACGCCGCGTTTGTTTGTTAAGCACAAAGAGTTGTGTTGAGTTGAGTTTGCGAGTCCTTTAAAGGGTGAAAGTGTATCAAATTTTCGTTTTACTTGAAAAGTTCGTGCAAAATAAATGTGTGAACGAGAGCGGAGCGGAGCTTTGAACACTTTAAACTCACAGTTAAAGCTTCCTGCTGCTCTCCGAATACGAGTGCGCATTAAAGTTTAGTTTTGTTTCGGTTCCCCCTTTGTGGCCGGTCAGCCCATTTTGTTCTATAAATAGCCCCCGTATTGTGACTGACTTCTTGCCCAGTGGCCTGCAACGCCGCCACCGCCTGCATATTGATTGAAAAAAAGGAAGAAGCAGAAAAACATGCATAGGTTGAGTATTGGAAGGCGGTTGGTGGGGGTATCGATGCCAGTCCCGTTTGTATGTGTGTAAGTGTGTACATGTGTGTATGAATGTACATTGTTTTTGTTTTGCAATTTATGCATACATAAATAAATAAGTAGCTACAAATGCGCGCACGTAAAAAAAGAGTTTATAAAACCGTTGCTGCTGTCGATGTCCATAAATATTTTACTCACACACATCCACACACAAACAACTGGCTATGTCTCCCTTCTATGGCCCCCCTTCAGCCATACCCTTGCAGGCCAATGAAATTGGCGCTTGTTTCTAGTTTTATTACAACATTTTTTTCGCTTGTCATGTTTTCCATCGCTGTTTCGTTCTGGCGCCCCTGCTGTACCCGTCAGCAACATACACACACACAAACACATAGCGTAGCGTCACAACACTTGTGCTCGCCTGTCTGCGCTGTGTAATCATCTTTTTTTTTTTTTGGCACCGCCTCCATCCAATTTTAGTCTATTTCGCATATTTGCATTGTTATGAATTTTCTCTTTTTCCATATAACGATCTTTGTTTTCGGGATGGGCGGGCAAGACAAACTCGAATTAGCTTTGTTTTTACATCGTATGTGTATATACAGATATCATATACATATACATACATACATATATATGTACTTTTATATGTGTTGTCTATGAGTTTTGAACATGAAAATTCCACTTGAAAATTTTCCTTTAGTTCACTCAAGTGAGGCACAATAAATGTGTGTGGATGTGTGTGTATGTATGTATGCATGTATATTTGTATAGATATCTGCAATCAATGTGCATGCAGTTGTTACCTTTTATAACACCTCTTCTTCTCTCTTTTCCACTGCTGCGTGCATTGCAGCTAACGTGCGCTTATCACTTGTTCATGTTTATTGTGCTTTACCTTTTGTTTGTTGCCGAGTGCCAACATTTAAAATAAGCCAAAGAACAAAATAGAAGAAAAACAAGACTAGACACCTGCGACAAGAATTTCACACTTTGAAAATTGCAAAACAAAAATCACCAAAATAGAACGAAGTCCGTACAATTTGTTCAATTCCTATGAAATAAATTTAAAAATAAATACAGTAAAAACTCTTGAACGGAAACAAAACAAATGCGAAAGCAGATGCTCAAAAGCAACAAAATGAATTATCAATGTTTGAAGTAAATTTAAAAAGAAATATACATGTTTAATGAACTATAATATAAAATACATCTCTGTTCACTATTTGTGTAGTTTTTCGTTAGCAAAATTCATTTGCTCAAGGGATAGTTTTTGACAACTTTTAAATAATAAATAATATACGATTTTGTGTTTAGGGATATTACCCTGGGGAGATGTACAGTATAGTCTCAAGACACCATGTTTATTTGCAAAGAATAATAAAATTGAATAAATTACAGAAATTTTGATATACTGTTCTAATAAGGAAGGCTTTACTGTACCTTTACTCGTGCATATTTCAATGAAGAGACATGCGAGAGAGGAGGAAGGTTTGCTTGTGCTGCCTCAATGGCTGCTTTGTATCATCGATCGATCTGCGGCCAAATTTACTGACGCGCTTTCGGTCTGAATAAAAAAGAAAAACATAAATCAACGCAATACACAATTTGATTATTGTGCCAAATGGTTTTTAGCAGCAGCAGCTGTCCGCAAATGGCAAAAAGCGTGCGAGCCAATATAAATTGTTTTGATTTTTACTTTTTGTATTTGTTTTTGTTGCTGACCAAAATGACTTGCAATGCTTGCAGTTTTTTTGTTGTATTCGATTTGCGTCATTCAATCTAAACACATAGAACCGTTTTTTACCCAGCCACTCACAATGAGGAAAGAAAGAAAAATAGAAAAGACAAGACAAAAGGCAAGCATTTATTCATAACGAAGAACGAGCAAAAAGCTTTGCTTAAAACGGATCGACAGCAGCTTTGGCTTTGCCGGCTTCAATGCTAATGCATGAGCAGAGCAGACGGAAGAAAAAAGCGCGCGAAATGCGACGTCACGAAGTAACCGTTAATTCAAAGACAAAACAAGTTGCGAACGAACAGGCGAGAGAGCGAATATTTATAAATAACTAAATAAAACAGAAAAAAAAAACAACTTGCTGTCACACTCTGCTGCTGGCAAACTCCAGTAATTAAGTACAGTAGGTCTTGGCTAAAGTGAATGGCATTTTACATGTTTACATGAATGAATATTTCAGAACCTTCCAGTCTAGCAATATTCCTACTGGTATTTAAACTTTCCTTTTATTCAATTTGGCTTTATTATTGATTGCAATTTCAAAGTAGACAGTAAAGTCTATAAAGTGCATCAACTTGTAATTTGTGTGTCTGTTTTGCAGCTCCCCCACTTCAGATGACCCCCAACTCAAGCGGAAAGCACACACACACAAACAAGTTGGGCTTTCCTATCTCTCTCCCTCGCACACAGACAACCCACACTTAGACTCATGCTCTTTCTTCCTTTCCCGGCTCGTTTGCTCTCTCGCTCTCTCTCTCCTCTTCGGCGTATGACTGTTGACTGTTGCAATGGCGTCATCAGCATTGAGCACTTTAAAAACTTTTTGCCTGCCCCAAGACTCACACAAACACGTACATAAATACATGTGTTTGCTCTGTTCTGTGTGTGAGTGTGTGTGTGTCTGTGGAGTGTGCGCATGACTTGTAAATATGTATATTTAAACGTGTTCCAAACATACACTCACACTCGCGGCTCGAATCGCTGTGACTTGTCGGCTCGAGCCATTGCTTCGTTTTCGTTATTGTGGCATTAAGCCAACAAACAATTTAAGCCAACATGAGTTTTTCCTGCCTGAAAAATTGTGGCAAAAAGAAAGAGAAAATCAAGAGTGCTTTAGTCCAGCGCACTCAACTAGAGAACACCCTGTAATACATTGTATTTCTTTACATTTCGTTAATGTTTGACTAAATTGATTTCAATAGTAATCGATTAAAACAAATCAATATCGATAGATACAAATGAACTTGAGCTGCAAGTGTCATCGGGCACTGATTTTATGTAGCACACTCAACTGGAGAATACCCTTCACTAGAACAACCCTTTAATGTACGCTTAAATTTCGCCAATATTTGAATATTTGATTTTAATATCGATTATTGACAAATAGATACAAATTAAGTTGATATGCAAGTTTTTGTTTTAATTTTCGTTGCAAATTTATTTGTGACAAAAAATATTTATGCTAATTGCTTGACAAAATACGCCCCTTGCCTTTGTCTATTATTAATGGTTCCAGGGTATCAAGAAATACATACACACATTAATATTGTACTTTTGCTGTTTGTTGTTGGCGTTGTTATCGTGCGTCTGTCGGGTTGATAAACCGGTTTACTGCTGGCTTGGCTTGGTTTGGCTAAAAAAGATAGACAGAAAGAAAGAAAGAATGAGATACAAAATGCCATTCGCCATCGCAGTTCGTGCTCGTGTGTTCTTAGTTTGACTTTTTGCTGTTGTTAGACAGCCGGCGGCTGTTGCGACTGCTCAGCTCAGGTAGCGACAATAACTATAACAACAATAACATAAAGACGAAGGAGATGAATAGTTGAGCAGTGAAATGTATCTGTTAGATATTACTGTACACTCATCTGTGATTTATGTATAATCGTATATGATTTACTGTAGTGTTTGTGTTAATGCGTGCATCTGTGTATGTGTTTGATTGAGTGTGTATACATACACACATCAACAGGTTTTTTTTTTGTTTTTTGTTCATTCGACTTTCTCGACTGCGTGGGCGCATGGAACACGTTGCTGCATCCTGTATCAGCAGCGGCGTCGGCTCAGAAGTTGTTGCCACTAGTTTTTTTGGTTCACTTGCAGAACTGGTTTTTGGCGCGCTTTCAAATCTGTTGTGACTCTCGGTCTGCGGCTTCCTTTCACTGTTCACTGTTCACGGCTCAACTGTTGCCACACCAATTGCGATCGACCAAATATGTATATAAATATATTTCAACGTAATCAGTCCCAAAAGTGAAAAAAAAAATAGCATGCGCAATCTTAAGCAACAATCAGAAATGTCTTGAAAATTGTTTTAAAAATAAACAAAGCATGGCGAGAGCTCTGCATGAATGCTACAAATACTGCATATATCATATATAATATATACTTATATATATATATATTTATGTCATAATTGTCGGCTAGACATTTGTTGCCATTATCTGAGCATCTGTGCAATTCATTTTTACTTTTTTTTTTTTTTTTTGTTCATTTCTATTTGCTGACATTGCTATTAATATGATTATGGTTATTATTGTGGTCGTATGTACAGTGTACAGTGAACAAAGGCCAAATACAAATCTTGAGCTTATAATTTATAATTACTTAACGCAAAGAGAGACAAGATCTATGCTAAGGCTAATATATAGTTTTCATAGTTGCACTTATCGTGCGACTACTGTATGCTGTTCAGTTGCGAAGTCTACGAGTCTATGATGTGTCTTCATGATGTGATGTGGTTATGACAGCCGACCCATCTGTCTGTTCTGTTTATTTCGACACACACACACATACAACTGTATCTACACTTGATGGCTTATCAATTTTTATTTTTATTTTTGTAAATAAATAATGTTAATGTATGCGATATGTATCGCCGTGTGTGTGTGTGTGCCTCATAATCGTCTCAGCCAATTCTTAATTGCACTAATTTTTTGTTCATTTTTTTTTTTTTTATAATTATTGAGACAACCATTGTGATGAAATTTAAGTTTATTTAGCTTATTTTGTTAGTCATATCCAGTTTTGGGTTTAATATACATCTGAGTTATTCAGATGAGCATAAAACCAATGAACTTCTTTTTACTTAGTGATCGAGTTTATAGATGTTTATTAAGCTCGCGAAACACATAATTTCTGCAAGTGTATAACGCGCTGTAAACATTTTATAAAATTTGTAGAATTGAAACTTGTTTAAGGCATAGCAAAACGCAACGCAAATATTTTATTTCCTTATTTATATATTCTAAACTGATTTTTTCAGTATGCAAAACTAGGGGAATTTTTTTCGATTCGACTTGGTTTTTTATTTACTAACGAAAACATTGAAACCCCTATGTTCCGTTTTTATCTTTATTTATTTTATTTTAATTTTATATTTAGCTCACACTGAAATCCCTGAAACATATATTGCCTGCAATTAAGGCGACCTTGAAGAAGTATATTCTCAACTTGAAAACTCGATCAGACAGAGACTTCGCTTATCACGAGCGCTCGAACTGTGCCACAGATACAGCGACGTTATTCATTTATGTTCTATTGCTGTTGATAAGATAGGGACGGAAAGAAATTTGTCAACTAATCCAAAAATCAAACACAATGGAGAAATACCTGAATAGATGTAGCTGTTGCTGTCGCTGTCGCTGTTGCCTTGTTGTCCGTCTAATCAAAGCAAACGGTTTTGATAAGCGCATTTGAAATTCTAGGAACCTATGGAACGAGGGGGCAATGCCATGTGGTATACTAAATCTAGATTTGTTGTTAATGTGACGATAGCAGCTGCTGCTGCTCCACTGCTACAACAGCAATAACAACAACAATGAAAGATAGCAATACATAACATAAATATATGAAACAACACACGACGCTGACCCAGGCCAGGCCGAAGCGTTAAATTTCTATGTTCTTGCACCTCCTCCTTCTGCCCACTCGACGACTGTTTGGTGTGTGTTGCGGAAAGGGGGAGGGGTGCTGTGGGGCGGCAGGCTGACAGTGTGTGCAAACAAATAGTATCTTTATCGCTGACAATTGCGAAATCCAAACGAAAACTTGTCATCGGTGAATATTGTGCTGACACTGGCGCGATTTGTGAGCAATTCGTAAGCGATTTGTTGTTTGTACTTTTGACATCGGATTTCATGTTTTTCCATTTAATTTGCAAGTTGTATTATTTATATACATATAAATGTGTGTGTGTGTGTGTGTGTGTGTGTTTCTATATATGTATTAATGGTGTCTCGCATATTTATTGTGTACTTTCAGGATTCTCGATTTCAATATGAAGCGCCAAAAATGATTGCAATGTGTGAATCGTCGTCTTGAAAAAGGTTTTCTTTCCGTTGATTGAAATTAAAGCAACTGCTACACGCAACGAAGAAACAA